AAGGGTATGATTAATTGTGGCCAATGTGTATAAGAGAAAAACATTTATTTCATTATGAGATTTCTCTCCCATTTTAAATTCTTATTCTCCAATGAAAGGTTAGATTTTTGTACATTTTTTAAATAAAAGATCAAAGGGATTAATGATACAGATTTATTTTCACAGCCTTCTTTGATCATATTTACAAAGCAAGGGTATGAATAATTTTGAGCACAACTGTATTTATGTATTTATTTATTTATTTATTATTATTATTTGGAACATGACAGACATGGTTATGGTGAACTATGATCATCTGAAAAAAGTGTGAAATAATCATAAATTGTGCTAAATATCACTTATATATTGTTGCTATAGTGCTATAGTTTTGTCAAATTAAAAAAATTATTATTATTAAACTTAGAGATTTAGAGAGTAGGAGGAGGAGGAGTAATATTTTGTTTTGTGTATTTAGGATAAATACAATTCTAGCTATGAAATTAGAATTAGCAAGAAAAGTTAAGAAAAATACATATATTTTATTCCAAAACCACAGAATTGTATCAAAACATAATAAACATAATACATAATTTAAGATGTGGTGCACATGGTGGTTCAGAATAATGACATTTAAAGAATTCTTCTGTGATGTATGTCCACTGATGCTCATTGTTAGTGGATAAATTAAACTAGTGTGGGTATGAAAATTGATGTGTTTATTTTCTAAACATCCACAGAAGTGCCCATGCCAAAAAAATAAAATAGATAAATAAATAAAATAATAATAAAATAAAATAAAAATAAAATAGATAAATAAATAAAAATAAAACACTACAGATGCTAACATTTTATATACATAACTATTTTGCCTGGATTTTAAAAATTGTTACCTCAAGTTCAGAATTATTTACAAGTCTGTGGTTTCCACAACGGAGCCTGAACCATCTGCTAAACCTTGAAAAATCATTGTAGAATAATAATAAAAAAGGCAATCCGCCCATGCTGTGTGAAGATTGCATCCCCCAATAGCCTGAGGAGCAGCTATCTACAAACTGTCATAAAAACTTAATGTGAGCTTACTCCTAATTCTGAACACCATGGGAACATTTTCTTGCCCCAAGCATTGTTCAATTTAACTTTTGGATCCTCCTGAGCGAACAGCGCAGACAGACAGTCACTAGAAGTGAAAGCGAAATCCTATTAAACCTCCCGAGAAATGTTACACGAAAACTATAAAATCTCCTTCTCAGCTGTAAAGCAGAAACTGATGTCCACTCAATGTCTGTACATCCGAAGGCTCATGGATTCTCTAGGCTGTCATTACTGATATAAAATCTAAAAGCTTGTTGTGTTGGAGAAGCTGTTTTCAGTAAGACAGAGCCTGAACCCTCATTTGTTGTAAAGATATTACAGGGTTAACAGTGTACTTTGCTTTTAGGTAACTCTCTTCTTGAAAAATGAGACAGTACTGACTATTTGATTCTCCCTAACACTGCAATAACCACCATTCTAGAGATGCAGTAGATGGCAAGTATAGTGGAAAGCAAGATATATGAGGTGCAAATTACAAGGGTTTGGGGGTGTCTGACAGGATTTAATAAAACATAATATATATAAAAAAGTTGGGCTGCAGTCCAAATAACATGCAGTGCCTCCTAAAAACATTTGTGATATTAGTTCACACAAAAATTAATGAATTTCACAGCATTATACAAAAATATACAAAAACAAAATGATATATATATATATATATATATACATATATATATGTATATATATATATATATACATATACATATATATATATTCATTAAATATAATATTAAATACAAAAAAATCATCGTATTAGATATATAAAAAAAAATTTTTTTTTAATGTATATATATATATATACATGTATACATATATATATGTGCATTATATACATAATCTTTTTAGTTGTTTAGTAAATGTATGAATTTAGTTCCCCTCAAGTTCACACAGGTTTTATTTTTCTTATGTTCTGTCAACTATGTTACTAACCAAACAACCCACTGCAACTAAAAATGGTTTATCACAACATGATGTTACTATAATCTTATAGTTCAATATTATTTTATCAGTGGATATTAAACACATTATTGTAAAAGTACTCTAATTTTTTTTATTATTTTTATTTTATTTTATTATTTTTCCAAATCTGATCAACAATAACCTATTGTGAAGAAGTATAAATTCAATTGATTATCAGCTAAATTTGATACAATGATATGTTTTGAATTTATTTTGAATTTTTATTTTATTTTTTTAATTATTATTATTTTTTTTTTATGATTTCAATTCAAATATATATATGCAAATTTGAGGTTAACCTGACAAAAAAATAACATCTGGTTGGTCGGTCAAAGCCTGTAATTGGAATTGTGATTCAAAATAGTGCTTTTGATATACTCTCAGGGTATATTTTATATCCACATAGGTTGGATAAATAATTAAAAAAAATTGAACTTGTCATTAGTGACTTTGCTAAGTATTTCATATGGATCTGCAAAACATATCCAAAACATATGATTCTTAAAATCCAATTAAAGGGGTCATGAATTGAGAAATCTAATTTGCCTTGATGTTTTGACACGTAAGAGGTCATTGTACTATAAAAACATCCTGTAAGTTTCAGAGCTCAAAACTTCCTTGCTAGTCCAAAAACATATTTTATTAAAACCAAGATCAGGAAACGACTCGTTTCAGATTTTGTCACATAATGTGCGATGAAAGCCCATCTCTGCAAAATCATTGCATCTTTGGCCCTGCCCACTGGTACATTAAACATAGTGAGATGAGAAGGAGAGAAGAGCAATACAGGATAACTGGACTAAAATAACATTATCTTCCAAAGTATGCTAATCCTAGGAAACAGAGCAGAGCATTACCCAGACAGCAAAAATCACCTGGGCCAGATCTGGCCCAGACCCATCGGAAGTTCTGGTCCAGATCCGCACAACGGACTTGGGCCGGTGTCTTTTGGTACAACGGGCCAATACCGGCACGGATCCGTTTTTCCAGATCTGGACCAGAACTGGGCCAGCTCTGGACCAGATGCGGATTCCTTTATGGTGATTTGGGCCAAATGTGGGCTGGATCTGGTCCAGCACCATGCCGGATCTGGGCCAGCTCATTTTGTGTGTGTATATATATATATATATATATATATGCCTA